GATGCAAGATAAGAGCCTGGTCATAAGCCAGAGTCAGGTTCATACACGGGAATCTAGAGGATAAGGCATCAGAATAGCCGGGAGGCAGTTTAGAGTCATACCTTGGTGGTCAGAGGAAGCAGAGTCCTTAAATGAGCTGGGGTAAGAAATAGAAGTCAAGAAGAGGGGAAGTCTAGAGGTAGGCAGAGTCAGTAACAAGATATCAGGATAAATGCCGGATACTTCGGAACAAGGAATCGGACACTGGTGAAAGTGCCAGACCTGTGTATTTGCACATTTGCACTTCCGTTTAAGATAGCATCATGACAGCTGAACTGATAATACAGAATAGGATCCTAAAAGGATCATAAAAGGAAAGAAGGTGGGAAAAGTCAGATCTTGTTCAATTCTCTTTTAAACTTGATAACTGCAGCTTCTAGTTTCCTTATAAATTTCAAACAACTAAAAAATTGTATAAATCTTGTTTTAGATAAAATAGTATGTCTGTGTTCAATTATATACCAATTAGAATTAGAATACGTATTGTTTTATTTTATAAAGATAAATTATTTATTAAAAATTAACATAGTTCATGTAGATAATACAAGACAAATCTAGAATATTTGTTCCTTCAGCTGCCAAGTTACTAATATTTTCTTGCCACTGTGATGGTTCCATTTATAAATGTCTTCTTTCTCTTTAGAAGTCTATTGGTTGTATGACTCACAGCTCAGCATGGTATTTGATATAGGTAAGCTTTATAAGGGTGGTGCCCTAACAATTTTGTATATTTTTTACCAATATACAAACTTATCACCCACATCATGGGGCCTCTTGTCTAATGAGTTCCTATATTGTCAACTACTGTAAGTAACTAAGGTAAAAAAATACTTTCCAGGCAATGTACCAGTTTATATAGTTAGTCCAAGCCAACTAGATATAATAATTCAGTAATTATATTTCATGTTCATGTAGGTTGAAGGAAGTTAGCAGAAGTTTCCAACTGAAATAATAAAATATAAAATGTAAGTTGTGATCTGCTATGCTTTCAAATTGTAAACTTTATATTATTAATATGGGCTACTTTCATAAGTTGATTGTGTAATTATTTATAGGATGGACTATGTTGTTGTAATGCTGTAATGCTATGCGGTATTGAGATGCTATACTGTGTATGTATTGTTTATATTGAACATTATAATTACAGAGTATTGTTAATGATATGAATATAATGTGAAACTTTGATTATTATGATTTGTACACATTATATTATTATTATAGGCTACTTTTATAAGTTGATTAGGTATAGAATAGGTTATGTTGCAATGCTGTGCAGTATTTGGATACCATATGGTATATGCAATATACAGTATTTATGATATGATTATAATGTGGAAACATTGATTATAATAATTTGTAAACTATTTAACACCAAAGCACCTTGAGGTTCAATATTGGAAATGTTAGCTATATTAGTTGTACAGGTCCCAAGTGAAAAGGTAAACATTCTTGTTTTCTTAATAAAGATTCACTTATATGCCACAGTGACAGAGGCATACAAAAGGAATAAACAGATGGGCTGAAAACAAGCAGAAAGGGTAATACACTCCTTAATTAAACAGGGGACAAAAAAAAGTTTGCCAAAAAATGGTCCTAAATTACCACATTGTAAACATATGAGCTACAAACATGCCCAAAGCATTTGATGAGTGGCATTTCTATAAATAACACAGATTGGATTTACTAAAACAGTTAAAGCAAACAAGGTAGACCTTCTAAAGATATGGTTGTTGGTAAATCTAAAAGAGATGTTATAGTTTTATGATCACCTTTAAGGTGTATTTAAATCTAAAACTAAAAAAATAACATATTGCAAACTACCAGTTCTTAGATACGGTTGCTGCATTAGTTTTCTTTTTTAAACTTTTCACCTGCTACTCTACTAAGAATGGCGACACTTACATACCCCCTGTATTAGGACAACCGAAACAAGTATGCTATGAAATTCTACCCCTCTCCCACGCTTCATAATATAGATGGGCATGTTTCTGTGGTCCTCAGAGACAGGTGGTATCAATATAATTGATAACAGTGCAGCAGAGGCACATAATAAGATATCAGATCACAAGATTATGGGATGGATCAACAAGAATTTTTTGAATTTATAAGATTTAATAAAATGCTTTTAATTGTATATTTAACAGACCAAAAGGGATAAAAAAGAAAAAGTTCATTATTAGGCTTTATATTCACATTACACATGCCCAGGGGCGGACTGACCATTTGGAAACTCGGGCACTGCCCGAGGGCCCGGGGTCAGTAGGGGGCCCCATGAGATGCCCCTGGTACCTTTTTCATAGGCTTTTTTGAGTTTGGGCAAGGACACAGGGGCCCCATGATCCCCTATTGCCCGGGGGCCCCATGAATTGTCAGTCCACCCCTGCACATGCCTCATTTAAATGAAAACTTCTAATCTTAGAAGCTTTTTTTACTTATTTGGGATAATATCAGTGATAACAACAGTATGCAAAATCTCTCCCATTCTGGGAATGGTCTTGCCTAACCCTGAGTCAATTGTTACTGTGGTAGGTTTGTAATGGCAGAGCTGAGTAGGCAAGGTCCATGCAGCATCTTTTAGTGGGTGGTTTTATAGGCAATATAGACTTTAGACCAGGGGCAGACTGACCATTCCGGCACTCGGGTACTGCCCGCGGTCAGTAGGGGGCCCATGAGATGCCCCTGGTACCTTTCATAGACTGTTTTGGGTGTGGTTTGAATATGGGTGAGGCCACAGGGGCCCCATTTTCCCCTATTGCCTGGGGGCCCCATGAGTTGTCAGTCCGCCCCTGCTCTAGACTGGATTTTAAAAACTTCCTGTAGCTATTAATGGGTACTAATGGGTAATTCATCAATCTTGTGAGCCAAGAGCAATGAACTTCAAATGTAATAAAAGAACATTATGGATATTTTATTAACAAGAATGGTCATATTGCTCCAAAGGTTATTTGATTTCGGTCACTCCCTTTAACTAATTTGGCGATATTTCTATATATGTTCAGTAACATCTTGGATTCCTGCCGCCAGGGGTGGACTGACAACTCATGGGGCCCCCGGGCAATAGGGGATCATGGGGCCTCTGTGTCCTTGCCCAAACTCAAAAAAGCCTATGAAAAAGGTACCAGGGGCATCTCATGGGGCCCCCTACTGACCCAGGGCCCTTGGGCAATGTCCCAGTTTCCAAATGGTCAGTCCGCCCCTGCCTGCTGCATGATCTTACTAAATCCTGGTTGTGATTTGGTGAAATCTACAGCAGCCTTTCTCAACCAGGGTTCCTTCAGCGGTGTCTAAATCCAGCCATGATTGGTTGAATCTTGGCCGGTCAGCAGGGACTGGCCGAGATTCGAACCATGTATGAGCAGGCTGAATGTACCCAAGTTGATCGATTAATCAACTTGGGTACAACCAACCTGCTGGGTTTTACATGCGATTATTGCTAGCGGCTATTATAGAGGCTAGCAGTAATCACTGAGTGGTCCTCCTGCAGGGAGAACACAATGGCTCCACAGGAGGAATTCCCCCATGAACACTGACTGCAGGAAAGAAAATCACTTAATCTATGGCTGGCTTAATGGTTCCTTGAACATTTAACAATGTCTGGCTCTCAGATAAGTCATCACTGACTACAATAATCCTTTAAATTATCTGTAAGAGCTGGGGGGGGGGATTTTTCCCAATGACCACGAATGTAAAAGGCTTTCTTCCCAATGACCAAGGTAATGTACCTTGAGCTGTAGATATAGTAATTATTAGCAGAGGTTCCTGGAGATGTCCCTGAGGTAAGTTATTTCAAGGGTTCCTCCATTTTAAAAACAGTTGAAAAAGGCTGCTCTACAACCTTTGTCGACTGTGTTATTGAGCTGAAGATGTTGAGGGGCAGCAGTATTTACAGGGGCACCGGTTAGATGGAAACTGGGACACATAGATTTCTGAGTTTTTTGTGCTACTGAGTTCCATATGGTGTTCAAGGAAGATGATATAGAAGAGGAAAACAAGATGAAAACATTTTAGTGTATATGTGATTTTATTTTATTTTTTTTACATACAAACACACTTTGGTTTTCCTTTACTCTTTTTACAAAACAAGCACTTTTCTCCTAGTATATGTGTGAAATGATCTAAATACAAATCTGTTTTTGTCTGTACTTCTTTGCAATTCTGCAACTCACTAAACTGTTTAGCCTTTTGTGATAATAATCATGAAAATAGTGATATGTAATAATTAACATAAACATGCACATTCATAAACTGAGGTTTTACAGGATTTTTTATTATTTTTTTATAAAAGCTAAAATTAAAACGGAACTTCACTCTCTCAATCAACATTGAATTTTTTTAAGAATTAGTAAACAGATAAGAAAGTATATTATATTTAATTCCTTTAAACTTTTTTTTAAATTTTTCTCCAGTTACCTCATAGTTTCCAAGCCTGGGCAAATGATGGCATACATCCCAGGAGTCTTCAGGAGAGGAGGAGGGGTTTGCTCACCTAACAATACCCTCCTGCCTGCATGCCTGAACCAAGGGTAGATGGATTCCAGGAAGTAAATGGTACATGAATCATCTGCTCTTGTTCAAGGTGGCCCAAATCCATAAGTGCTAGGGGGTGTCTCTCAAAGTGATTTCTCAGCAAAATAAAGCATGGAGACATGGATGGATGGGAGAGTTTGCTTTGAATATTAAAAATTAATTAACCGCTTCCGCACTGCCCTATAGCAGAAATACTGCAACAGGGCCACATGGGTGCGCAAAATCATGTATATATACATGATTTTTCTGATATGGGTAGGTGGCGTGCGTGCGCGCCCCTACCCACACCAATCATCCGTGGCCTCGACTGTCAATCACCGGGCCCAGCCTGTGAGTTCTTGCCGGCACCTGGTGATCTCTGTATAAACAACACAGATCTCTTCCCTGTCAGCACCTGCACACTGCTAACAGTAGAAAGCACTTACACAGCCTACAGTGAAACAGCACACAGTTAACCCTTTGATCGCCCCTCATGTTAACCCCTCCCTGCCCAGTGCCATTAGTACAGCATCAGTGCTTTTTATTAGCACTGATCACTGTATTGGTGTCACTGGGGATGTCATTGACACCAAGTCAGTTCCCCCCAGTGACTGAATGCCCACCGCAGTCCCGCTATAAGTAGCTGATCGCCACCATTACTAGTTAAAAAAAACCCCCAATAATTCCAGTATCTATACTGCCATATGTAAACGCTATAGCTTTCACATAAATCAATTACTTTACACATATTTGGATTTTTTTTAGCAAAGACATGTAGCAGAATACATTTTGGCCTAAATTTATGATGAAATTTGCTTTTTAACATTTTTTTTACTGGACATGTTTAATAGCAAAAAGTCAAAAATATTGTTTTTTTTCCTCAAAATTGTTTTTTTTTGTTTATAACACAAAGAATAAAAAACGCACAAGCGATCAAATACCACTGAAAGAAAGCTCTATTTGTGAGAAAAAAGGACGCAAATTTCATTTGGGTGCATCATTGCATGACCGCGCAGTTGTCAGTTAAAGTGAAGCAGTGTCGTATTGCAAAAAATGGCCTGGTCAGGAAGGAGGGTAAATTCTAGAAGGGTACGTGGTTACATGGCATTTGTGGTGCCGAGATACATATGTAGTTCCACTGTAAACAAAAACATTCAATGCAATGTTCATCACTGATCCTCTTTAATTGGAAAGTCCTGCATGTCTTGCTTGCTGACAGCCTAGGTATAAATAATGATACAAGACAGGTCCCAACTCTTTTAACTCACTAGAGGTGTGGAAGTCAGTTTGTGTAACATGGTCTCCCCAGTTCTTCATTGATTAACATACTAGTCTAGTATACTAGTCTAGAGGGTGGACAAAGATTCTATCCCTCTTGGAGTTTGCCACCTCCTTGCTGTATGTGGTAAATATAAAATATTTATATGCAACCTTTTCTATTAATCTGACTAAATATTACTTTAAATACAGTTTACATGGATTGTGTACAGGGAGACTGTGCACGGAGGTCAGTGGTAATAATTTTATAAGCGCTAATTATGAACAGGTCATTAATTTGGCAAAATAACATGTTATGAACAAATATATCACAAAACATGGTTGTTTGATGAACATTTCCAGTAAAAAAAACTAATTGCTTTGTGAGTGTAAAAAAAAGGGATAAATGCAGATATGTATTTATAAAAAATACATATTATAAATGTAGCTAGTATAAATACCTAAACTTAATTTAATTTAATTCTCTTTCTTTAGGAGAAAAAAAAAATCAAAAACAGTGAGGAGATTAATGGAGAAAATGTACAATGATTTATGGTACCTCTAAGGGCCCCTGTATGATAATCTAAACCAGCCCCAAGCCCAGTTACTAAGTGATGCACACACCACATAAAATAAATAAATATTTGCTTTACCTTCCTAATTAGGTCCAATCCTGATCCATTTGTATCTCACACACTCCCCCTCCCAGACACTGCAGCTCACAGTGGGAGAGTTTCAGTAACAGAGGCAGTGCTGTTAATCCAGAAAGCAGCGGGTAGATCTAGGTGTGTCCAGGTGTTGGATGAAAAGCTACAGGCTTGAGAATCAGCAGTAACAATGCTATTAGCCACTTAAGCCATCCATATTGTCGCAATATATTATTACCTCACTGTAGTACAAGTCTAGCTCAGGGGCGGACTGACAACTCATGGGGCCCCCGGGCAATAGGGGATCATGGGGCCCCTGTGTCCTTGCTCAAACTCAAAAAAGCCTATGAAAAAGGAACCAGGGGCATCTCATGGGGCCTCCTACTGACCCCGAGCCCTTGGGCAGTGCCGAGTTTCCAAATGGTCAGTCCGCCCCTGGTCTAGCTTACATGAGAGTGGCATCTCTGCTCTGAATTCAGGGACAGTGCAGCATCTTTGCAACACCATCACAGGAAATACAAACACGTAAACAGTAGGGTGCAAATGCCTAGTGCATTACCACAGTAAAGTTTATTCAATTATAAAAACAATTACATACTCACAAACATAAATGGCAGCAGGCATATCAAACAGCAACAACTTCAGCCATAGGCAATGCCATCTCATTGTATATCACACATTTGGAAGGATAACACGTTTCAGGGTTCAGAGCTCTGAGGAAGGGGGCATGTACCCTGAAACACGTTAGCCTTCCAACTGTGTGATATATGATGAGATGGCATTGCCTATGGTTGGAGTTGTTGCTGTTTGATATACCTGCTATCATTTCTGTCTGTGAGTATGTAATTGTTTTTATAATTGAATAAAAAATTATGGTGGTAATACTCAAGGCGTTTTCGCACCCCCTTGTGTATTTTTGTAGTTCATTGAAGATTACCCAATCTGAGGAAGGCTACATCGAGTGAAGCATTACCTGCCAGGACATTATGAGGAGCACCTTAGTTTGAGCGCAGGAGTGTTTGGATTATTGTAGAAAAGACACCATTACAGGAAGCTGAACTAGATGGACATACTGACAGGATCAACTGGTATTTGTGGGAACAAATTAATAAAAGAAATTTGGATATGTTAAACAATGGAAATTATTTACTGAAACTGGAGAGTGCAAAATCTGGTGAAGCTCTGCATAGAAACTAATTAGCTTCCAGGTTTTATTGCCAAAGTTAAATTGAACAAGCTGAAGTTAGAAGCTGATTGGCAACCATGCACCAGATCCTGGCCGCTCTAGTTGTAGTAAATCACCCCATATATACATACATATCTATATTGACCAGTGAGGCTATGCACCACACTTAATGACCACTAGAGTAGTGTGTAAGTTTGGGGGGGGGGCACAGCTTCGGAAATTCTGGCAAGCATTTTTGTCTTGTTCTCAGGGTGTTTTGACCTGAATACATTTGGAAGTGGTTGTTGAAGATGTCTGAAGATGCCACAAGTTTGATAAAGAAGGATGCTGATCACTTGGAATTGACAAGACTTGTAAGCTGATACTCCTGTTCAGGGGCGGACTGACAACTCATGGGGACCCCGGGCAATAGGGGATCATGGGGCCCCTGTGTCCTTGCCCAAACACAAAAAAGCCTATGAAAAAGATACCAGGGGCATCTCATGGGGCCCCCTACTGACCCCAGGCCCTCGGGCAGTTCCGAGTTTCCAAATGGTCAGTACGCCCCTGCTCCTTTTCCAGAAAACACATGACATCACTTCCTCCAATCAGCCCTCCTTTGGCTAGCAGCTTCTGTAAAAAATTAAGAGAGCAGATGATGGAATAAAACAATGACAGCTATTTCCTTAACAACTAGAAGTAATATTTGTTATATTTTGTTGAAAGGTCTTCTTTAATCTGATCTCTGATCTATGTGATACTGTCTGTAGCTCAACTTGTTGATCTACACCCCAACTCTAATTAGGTTTTGTATGAAGTGGATTTAGTTTCATTGCCCGGAAGTGAGAAAATCTTATATAATGAAGAGCAATAATTCCAAGGGCACGTAATCCACATATCAATTTATCTTTCATTTTTAAGTAAGACCAAGTATAATGTGAACAACAGAACAAGAGAATTCCTGCTAAGCTACCAAGTTCTGCTCTTGCTTAATAATGGGATGCAGCAGTGGATATTGTTTTTTATGTTCTGCACACCTTATTATGAAGCACCATCAAGAGATATTAGGAAGAGATATTAGTCATGTATATGGCCTGGTATCACTGTAGTAAGAAGACCCCATTCTATGTTAAGGCGTGGTCTTGGAGTGATATTCGTGACTAGGAGTTACTGTACGTTCAGACAGTGAGATCAGTGTGTATGCAACCATGGGGTGTCATAGACTCATTTGTTGATCACTGTTTGCACATTGTTCCATTTACACAGCGGATATATTTAACACAAGGGGGGCAATTCAAGAGTTTTGAATCCATGCTATGTTAACACTAGTACTGGACTGATGCTTCAGGGGTGAGCCCCCAGAAAAATGTGCTCTACCACCCATTCCCACACACCCAAACACCTACGTTTTGCTTGTTTTAGGATGGTAGTGGCCTTCAGTCATTCAGCTGTTGTTGTGCATGAAATCGTATTGAAAGTTCCAGAGAACTAGCTAGTTTGTTGCTGGATTTAGGGTCTCTGTCGATGGGTTTTGGGGTTGTGTTGCTGGCATCCTTTTGAAATCAATTTGAGATGCTAAAGAGATCCTTCAGAATTCACAGGCAGGTTGATTTAACATTTGCAAATTACCTCCTTTTGACCTGCAGTCATCATTCTGCTTCATGTGGGTTTTGCATACTCATTTATGTGTATGGGAAACTAAAAAAAAAAATGTCTGCTGACTCAAGTTCTAAATGTGCAATATTATCCAAAAAGTGTTGAACTTCCTGTTTGTTTGCTTTTATTTATCATTTAAATTGCTCATGGATATTTTTAAATTTGGAATCATTTTGATCAAACAAGATATCTAAGGCAAAGATTTCTTCTCTGATAGAAGTCATGTGTGAGCAATTTTGGTCGTCCTTTTAGAAGGCACCAAACTAATGACCACTTTCTATTATCTAGCCCATTATATTGCTGTGCTGAATGGGAAAAACTATAGCTGGATACTTGATTTACACTCTGAAATAATCATCATAAGAAATCGTTTGAAATCTTTCATTGTAACTAAGAAACTTCACACCTGTGTATTTCTTTACTGCTTACACTTTCTCATTAGCAGGAATGTTTTTAGATATCATGCTGCCCTAGTCACACCTAAATGTTAGTGTACATTTCTACTAGCTCCACCCCTTATGTCATGAGCAGGCAGCTTGCTGTCTTCTCTATATTCAAAGCTACTTTTTAACTGTATATAGTGCCAAAAAATTGTGTGTTTCCTGAATTATAGAATAATACTATAATAATAGAATATTCTGTCTACTGTCATCATCTCCTCCACCCCCAATAGCACTGAACGCCCAACTATAGTCCCACAGGTTTAATTGATCTTATCCCTTTGAGCTTCAGAACTTTTCAAGGAATCTGTTCTGGCCCCATAACTCTGGGCAAGATGACCCACTGCAGCTCGCAGGTGGGAGCGTTTTTTTTTTTTTCTTTTTTCAGCTTGGCGCCCATCGTTATTTACCGTATTTTTCGCTCCATAAGACGCACCTGACCATAAGACGCACCTAGGTTTTAGAGGCAGAAAACAGGAAAA